CCCTCGCTCAGTACAAGTGCCGGGATCCAAGGATGACAGTTGTCTTCAAATGTGCTTCTTTTTTAAGAAGCCTTGGGGAAAATGGATAGGCCAAGTCAATGATTTCAGAAAATGCTGGGAGTGTCACTAGCGAAATAGCTGGACAAAATGAATGCGAAAGAATCGGTCCCGTGAGAGCTGAACCTCCACCTCCTGCACAAGCTAAACAAACAACGTCGAAAATCGTATGGAGCTCCAAGGTAGAATAATCTGACGATTGTGTACATGAGCACTAGCGTGATAAAATTATCCCTGGGTAATTCTATGAAAATTTAGGAACATCTAGACGTCCTTGCGAGCAAAAAGGCGAAGAAACCGGAACCATTGAAAAAGGATAATGTGGAATCAGACAAACAAAAGGCTAGTTTCAGTTTCAGGCAATTTTTTTCTCATAGTTGTTTACAAAATTTTTATAATATCCTATTTTGCAGTGCGCTCCTGCAACAGTTGGTTCAGGTGAGGGTCATCATTTTTTATTTGTTTCATCTCTGTGCTTTGATGTTGCCATAGGTTTATCAGCTGTACTCAACATTCCTGTATTTCGCGAGATATTGTGAACTTTTTCAGAAATTCTGGCAAGGGTTGCGACGAAAAATGTGGAACGTGACTCTTCAGAAGAATCCGAAACATTCGGTCCTCAACGGGCTGTACCACCACCGCCCTCAGTCTTGCAAGCGACGGCTCCGAAAATCGCGTCGAAGTCCGTTGATATGGTGAGTGACAAAGGTGGAAATGGATAATTAGTCTGGAAATATCCCTACCAGCAGGAAGTGTTAAATATGTTCTAGAGGAAGTTGCTCCAATTTCTATGGAGGAAGTAAAAAGTTCTTTATCACTCCGTGGGCGAAGTGGGGGGATGAGGCTGATTACCACAGAAAATAGTCGGCTGGTTGCTGGAATAAGTAGCTGAATGGCTTCCTGTAGAGTAGTTCCATGGCTATGATATTACTTGTTTTTATGAGTCATTGTTCATTTATTGGTTTTACGTTTCTTAATTCGCCTATTCCAAACGCGACGCTTTTCAGTCTCTTTGTGACAAGACGGCAACGGCAGAATCAGTTTCGGGTTGGTTTTCCTTTTTTTGTGCGTTTCTCTGTTCTCATATTACAATTTCTGGCGCTGTTCGGGTTAGGGGGGAGGGATTTTCAGCTTTCGCTAGTTTCTCTTGGTAGTTCCTGTTGACTTATACGTCAGGCTCTTGCCGAGTGAAAGTGAACCTCCTGCTATTGCATGGCTTTGCAGAAATTGAGTGTCCTCAATTCATCAACCGTGATCGACGAGAACCAGCAAAATGCCCTACCAAGCCGAACTGTGCTCAATTTCTTGTCGTTTCTAACAATAAATTGCATAAAATCTTAAAGGGATAGTGCGTAATTGAAAGAGCGGAAGTTAGGCATTATATGCGCCCATCTTTTCCACAGAACTTCGTAACATCTATTTTTTTTTTTCCTTACTTGTTTCTTCACTAGAGTCAAATACCTGTTCTCCGGAATTATGAAACCGTGTTTTATCCTCTCTATTCTTGGAAAACTTAGACTGCTATTATCTACAAGATTTGGAGATAGTTTAAGAGGGTACTCATGTTCGGTTCTTTCAGCAAATGCCATCAGTTCTGTGCCTAGAAGTGAAGCAATCGCCGCTCCAGCAGAACTGAAAAGGTTCAGTGCTCCAACTGTTTGTCCCCAACCACCCTCTGAACCTGAAGACACAAAAGGTGAAGATGAATCTATGGTTTTGTACAGGTGGGACGATAGTCGAATTTTCAATCATTTCAATCTTTATTCGGCACCTGGCGCCTTGTCAGCCGTACGTATGGAACAATTTTGTGAACTACAGATTGTTGGAGCTATACAATGCCGCTCGAAGTTGCTCGAAGGAGCCATCGTCTCGTATTGAGTGCACGGATTTGTCTATCAAGGCAGTTCTTATTAATGCCGGTCGAGCACTGCTCGTAAGTTCTTTTTATGAATAGTCCTTATACAGGCAGGGGGGGGGAGCGTAAATATAACACACTCATGGCGCGCACCTTCGTTGCATCCACACATGGGAGACGGAAACTGTTCCAGAAGTGCCCTTCTACAGGCGAGAGCAATACCTCCAGCACTGCGCTCACCATTCTGAAAAGCTTGCGCACTGTGTCCACTTTCCTTTAATCGCCTAGGAACTCCAGAGAGCCTACACTGTTTGCGCCAACCTGGTGTACGTACCAGGAGATGTCGTAAGCGTATTTACCCTGAGGAAATTTTTTGTAATCGATTTTTCCTGTTTCACGCTATTGATGCATTTTGATGGAAGAACTCCGAAGGGGGAGGGGGAAGACGATTTACTGGTCATCGGGAGGGAGGGGGTCATAACTGCCTTCAAGAGGAATTTTCCTAGTCACGAAAAAAGTTGCCGGTTGTTGACTTTTCGTGGTTTTTCCGTTGCACATTGTGCTGAGGGGGGAGGGATCGTACCAAAGGAGGGAACTCGAGAGGATCGTATTTTCCTGAAATTCCCGCCATTTGCAGGAAGTGACCTGGGAGTTACGCAATGGTTTCTCTTGCGTGCACTTTCCTGCAGACTGTCGCTCCGCTGGCGAAGGACATTTGACGTCCAGCTGTTTGGATAAGTTGGCTATGGTTCATGATTTCTTTTTCGTTGCTGGACCTGTTGATCGCCAGAGGCACTGGATTCCCTGTATGTGGCTTCGACGACTTCTGAAGGGTACCAGGATTACGAGGATAGTCCCAAGTGCCTTGGTACTCAGTTGCGTTGATAAGGCTTTTACGTTACGTCTCATGAGTGGACTGCCTTCTTTGTCCCTCCCCTTTTACATGTCCTCCATTTTCACTAAATTTGAACTGGAACGCAGAAGAGCAAAAGCCATATGATGTTTCCAGGGAAATCCGGAAACGGAAAAGGAGAAGCAGATTCTCAAAGATCTCCTTTCAATTGCTGACGCTCACTGCGGGTCTACTCATATGTGACAAGTCAGGCATTTAATGGTTGAACCAAGAATTTCATTACATTGTATCATAGTAATAGAAGAGGTATTTAGAGTAACAATGTAATTTCACATCTTTATCTTACATTAGTTTTTTTTTGCATTCTGTACTTCTTTTCAAACTCACATGGAACGATATGTGCTGTTGAATGTGCTGTCATGTCGCTCTGGGAATCGTTAGCTTCTCAGAAAACTTGAGGAATGATTTGAAAAACAGTGCTCTTATATGGTATTAGTGTGACTTAAAGGCACATCCCGCAATTAAAGTCCTCATCATTGCGGGATGTGCCCTTTGCCGTGGGGCGTGTCAGCCAGTATGAGTGTGCACACTGTTGAAGCCGTTCTCAGCCTTTTTGCTGAAACGCGTATGCGACAAAAAGTGGTAGAAAACGAGTAATACGAAGGATATAATACAGTAATGTCACTTGCCCGCTTCAACAACTGGTGCAGAACGACTTTGGCACCGCGCCAAACGCAGCCGCACTGACACGCCCCACTCTGTTGAGTTACCACTGAAGAAACAAAACTTAAAGAGACCCTAATAAGGCCCGGGCTGGAAGCTGTGTTATAAGAAGGCAAAATATGAGAGGCTAGGAGCACAAGTTGGAGGACCAGCGAGACCCCAAAAGTTAGACACACATAGAAAGAAGGCAACGCGTCCTACCTGTGGTTTACGATATAGGACCGCGGGCATATCTCGTCCACAAGAAGGCGAATGAGCTCCTATGCATGGTGCTCCGTTTGTGAAAACGGCGACGTCTTTGTTACCCACCGTTGAACCGCGAAAGCTACCCGTCAGTTGGTTGTGTAATGTCTCTTTAAGCTCTTGGCATGACGAGTAGCGAGTATTCTTCTTTGCATGATTAAAGGTAGAATATTGGAAGCTGAAATATAGCTTCGAAGCCCTAAAATTCTTGGAAATCCAGAAGCTATCAAGCCTTCAAACTCATTATATGGGAATCTCGGAATGAGGGCTATCGGATTCATTAAAACCATAGTCTAATCTTTTAGAGCTCATAGAAGCTGGAACCGCAGTTTTTTTTTTGGCGGGAGGCGTGTCAAGAGGGAATGGGATCGGCGCGGCGCCAACCCGTTTTCTCTTTTTTTGGTATTTGACAAGACTGTATCATATCGTTCGTATCAGTGGTTTTCCACCTGTTGTTGTCGTTTACCCGCTTCAGCAACTAGTGGGAAATGTATGGTGGTGCGCCGAACCCATCCTTTTTGACACGCCCCTCCAGCCGTAGTGAAAAAGACGATACGTTCCCAAGGAAAAGCTTCAATGTGTTTCTATGATGCCGTTCAACAGTGGGTGTCGTTCCATGGGTATTAGATTCACTAAGTGCATGGGTTGTTTTTGTTTTTTTTTTCAACTTACACTAGAGTTTTCACTTATGTGGTGATAGCATAAACTTGTTGTAAAACGCATTTTCTTTTTATCTGAGGGTGAAACTAACAGTAAGATTTAGGCAAGGGGTGTTGTTCCTTATTTGTCTTGGTATTTGAAGTTTTTGACACTATTTAGGTCTGTTTTACAGCTGGGTGACTGGCGGTGTATGTGATACAATCACTATGCCATGCGTCACTCAAACGAGTTTGTGATCTAGATTGACAACGGCTAACTTTGTTCATTTTTTTCATCGGTGTTGTTATGTACATAGTGCTATGGTTATGGGTGATTTTGAAGTATAACAGCTTTCGAATCGTTTTTTGGAGCCGCCGTTGTTTTCTGTTTTGTACATAGATTTTATTTTTAAATATTCTTCTTCTTCACTTTCTAGTTGTTCTTTCAGATTGCTAAATGAAGATTTATTCAGAAACTGTCGCTGCTTTCTTATCATAAGGGATCTGTAATAATCAATCAGTACCTTTATAGGTATGGTATTTTGGAAAATATGGCGTTAATATCCTCCGAGAGGGGGTGGAGGTGGCATATAAAACTCCTTGTGCAGAACTAGAGTTAGCGGAGCAGAGATGAAGACTTGGTTACAGGGTACAGCATCGTTGTGGAAGCACATAGGGCGGGTCTATTCGGTCTTGTTGGGAAGTGGCAAGGGGAGGGGGTCGTATGTATCTTCAAGAGAAGTTTGCCGGAAAAAAAAATTTCCTTGTTGACTTTACTCCTGTTTCATGTGTACTATATATTCCTCACTCCCTCGCTCGACAGCAAAATTTTTAGGCGAAAAACTGCAGGAAGATGGAACTCGTAGGGAAGTGGTCCGTAGGTGCTGGGGAGGGGGGGGGCAGGAGGATCGTACCGAAGACCCTCCTTCGAGGGGGGGGGGGGTCGTACTGATGCCACTGACATCACATCACGATGCTGTACCCTGCTTCGTCAGGCTCGAAGGGGAAGGTAGCTAAACCACTTAGAGTGCAGAAATACTATCCTTCTTAGAGGGGCCAGTTTCGCATAAGGGTTCTATTGAATGGCCCTAAAGCTATGAGCGCTGTTTTTATGCGAAATGAAATGGCCTGTGGCAATACTGAATGTTGTGTCGCTACTAGCAGGGCACATCGGAAGCCGGGGTGCAGCATCGTTGTGTGAAACACTCAGGGGTCGTACTTTTTCCGCTGGGGAGGGGGGTCGTATTTGGTCATTGTTGGGAGAGAGAGAGCGGAGGGAGGGGGTCTTACGTGGCTTTGGGAGAAATTTGCCGCGTTGGGAACTCGGTTGTTGATTTTTCGTGTTTTTTCCTGTTTCATATCCCCCCCCTCTACGCAAAATTTCCACGGAAAATTTCTGGGTGAAAAACTGGAAAATGTGGAAAATCGGTAGGTAGATGTTGGGGTTTTAGGGAAAGGGGGGGGGGTCGCACTGACACCACCATTTCACACATCACGATGCTGTACCCTGCCGGAAGCGAAGGGGTCCTATTAGGTCGCTGGTGAGAGGGGAGGAGGAGGGGGGGGGGGTGGTTGGATCGGTTGCTGACTTTTCTCTGATTCACCGTTTAGTGTACGTGTGTACGCTATACGCCCCCACTCTCGCCGATCGACGGCGGCTTTTTTGGGGAAAACTAGGAAATTTCTAGAAAAGTGGTAGGAATGGTAGGAAGATGGAAGACTTGAGGAAGGTTGTAGGTAAGATGGGGAAGGGAGAGGGGTGTCTAGAGGAGAAATACTGGGGAAGGGGAGAGGGGTCGCATTTTGGAAAATTTCTCTCAACGGCAGAGTGTGTTCTGTGCACTTCTATAGCGTCGCTGTTAGCTATGCTTTCCTTCTCCAGTTTCAGAAATTTCTTTTTTTTCTAGGAGTTTTCTGATAAGCGTTTGAAACACTCGTTTAGGACTGAAAAATTCATTATGATATGAATGGGATTGATGAAGTCCTTGAAGCTGGTTCGTCCACTCGAGGGAAGCGTTCAGAATTGTCTGACAGAGAGCTGGGGACGAACTCATTAGTTAGCTCCTCCATATTCAGCTTTCCTCACCGTTTTGGAAGAAGAGGCTCGAGAGTCGCGTCCTTTAATGGCTCCATCTTCCTCCCTCCTCCCACCCCCCCCCCAACTGGCATTCCTCAATGCTGTCTTTGAGCTGCTTCACGCGAACTTAGACATTTCCAAACTGCAGTCACAAGTATTGCACAAGTATTGCACAAGAATTCCTGTAAATACCTCCGAGCGGAATTGGGCCGCAAGTATTCTTTTTCTACCATTTCGCATCTTATATTAACCACATTATATACAATATTTTAATTAGGTATGCCTGATCGGCTCCCTGCTTCCTGGTCGGATCCAAAAATAAAGACCACTCCGAAAGTGTTTCGGAGTGCAATAAATGCCGATCAAGTGTGGTGTCGCGAAATCATCAATCTGCCTTCTGACTCGATCGCTAATGTACGAGGCTAAGTATGGTAAGGTTTACGTCGTTACTTTTTTTATCAGTATGATCGTGGGAATCGAACGTGAGAACGGCCAAGTGTCTGGTCTTAATACCCAACCCACTCCCGTTACGGGATTATGATCGATATAAAGTCTGCGAACGCTGGGACATTCTATAAGGAAGTAAAGCTGGGTATGGCGTGGCGCCAACCAATTTTCCACTAGTGATGGTCACCTGCCAGCTTCCACGATCGTTGGAGTTTCTCCAGGGCTGACGCCGCACCAAATTCAGCCCCCCCCCCCCCCTGAAATGTCTCAACGTTCGTAATCAACAAGACTAGCTTTTCTGACCATCGCCGATTCGGATGATTCCCAGGACTCTTGCTTTGCACGGTTGATATCTTCGCGGTCAGTAGGGGAGTTCCAAACGACATGGAATGTGCCTACCCGCGACGTTCTCACCACTAGTTATTTTCTTCGTGAATTAGCCACCAACCGACTTTTATTAGTGGAAAAAGGAGTGGAGGCGATCTCATTTTTTCCCTTCCGGCATCTCCCCGGCAGGTTGTGACTATATTAGTTACAAAAATAGTGTGCTCTGGAATCGAACCCTGGGTCGGCCTCTCCTCTGTCCGAGCCTCCGCAACCCGCAGTAATAAGTTCCGGATCCCAAATGGGATAAATTATTTCTTAAAGTTCATTTAATCTCCACTATAAGGTTTCTGTGAAGTTGAGGACGCTTTCACTTCTTATCGGGCCAATTTTCAAAGCTCAGTACCAGAAGGATAGCTGAAGTTGCGCTTTCCGAGCAAGGTCTCGGGTCTTGCCCAAGACAAACCGACTGGCTCCATCGACTGAGAGTTGGTTCTCGACCCTACTTTGCAACTGACTGTTGGCAAAGAAGAGTGCGGTAGTTGAAGATTTGCTGAGAGTCGTGACCATTTAAATCCCTGTTCGCTCCTACAGCTCTGTGGAAGGCACGCTCCTTACCACTTCAGCCCGAGCACTTTTTTTAACGTGTGGGCATAGGTAAAAGAATAACGCCCTAGCTGTTCCATCCCATAATGGCAGCGCAGTGACTGTGTCTCTTTGGGTTCGCGAACAATTCCGATGATGCAATAAATCTTCTCAAACCTTATCTGACCTAGATGAACGATAGTGCG